CCCTACGTATGTTGTGAAATGACCACCACAGTAAGTTCAGCTAACACCCATCATCTCATATAAATAGCCCCCCCCCCGAACGCTTTTCTTTTCCTTGTGAAACAAAGGATCTCCTCTCTTAGCAACACTCAAATGTCCCATCCAGAGTGTGAATGAACTCTAGTCATCGCATTGTGCAGGACAACCCCCAAGACTTATTTATCTTAAAACTGGAAGTTTATACCTTTGACCCCAGCTCCACACCTCTCGTAACTAGAAATCTGGCCTCTTTTTTTGTTCTTTTTTGATTTCATGTATAAGTGATATTGTTCAGTATTTGTCTTTCTCGGTCTGACTTATTGCACATAGGATAGTGCCTTCTGGGTGCATTCATGTGTTCCCAAATGGCAAGATTTCCTTCTCTGTTGTGGCTGAATATAGTATTCCATTATATGTGTTTATATACGTATACATGATGTTTTCTCTATCCATCCATCCAACTGTCGATGGGCACTTGACTGTCGCCAAGACAGTCTTGGCTATTGCTTTTTTTTTTTAAGATTTTATTTATTTATTCATGTGAGACAGAGAGAGAGAGAGAGAGCCAGAGACACAGGCAGAGGGAGAAGCAGGCTCCATGCAGGGAGCCCGATGTGGGACTCGATCCTGGGTCTCCAGGATCACGCCCTGGGCTGAAGGCAGGCGCTCAACCACTGAGCCACCTAGGGATCCCCTGTCTTGTCTGTTGTAAGTACCCCTGCAGTGATAACAGGAGTGCCACAGGCTCTTCAGCATAGTGATTTGTTTTCCTTCAGCTATAAACCCAGAAGTAGAATATGCTGGATCTTATGGTAGTTCACTTTTAACTTCCTGAGAAACAATGGTTCTAATCTGGAGGAAGTTTTGCCCCCAGGGACATTTAACAATGTCTGGAGAAATTCTGTTTTTGTTTTTGTTTTAAAGATTTATTTATTTGAGAGCAACAGAGAGCATGAGCGGGGTGAGGGTCAGAGGGAGAAGCAGACTCCCCGCTGAGCAGGGAGCCCAATGTGGGGCTCAATCCCATGACTCCGGGATCATGACCTGAGCCGATGGCAGATGCCCAACCGACTGAGCCACCCAGGCACCCCTGGAGATATTTTGGTTGTCACAACCAGGGGCGGTGAGGTGCTAGCATCCAGTGGGTGGGGGTAAGGGATGCCACTAACGTGCAGAGCAGCCCCTACAACAAAGAATTATCCAGCCAAAATGTCAGTAGTGCTGACATTTTAAGACTCTGGTCTCGTGGAAAGGAAAATGCTGACTAGCATTTCAGATTATACCTCCTGAATCGTGAGTTAGGCAGTCTTTGGCAAGTTATAAAATTTCCTTACATCTAGGTTTGCTCTTTCTGTAAAAATAGTATGTAATAATTGTGTCCAGTAGTATAGCACCTGCCTAAACAGAATTGAATTCCCTGTGAGTAGGGTTTTAAAAAGGACCAGGTTCATCCTAGCGACGGGGAGGCAGAAGGGTTGGGGCTGATTCTGCTGCCCAGTCTGGGGAGGTGGTGCGCGAGCACCTGTCTTACATGCTGGGCCTTCTGTTGATGTCAGGAGCACCAGGCACAGAGCCCTCACATAACAGAGAGAGTGTGTGTGCTCCTCTTATCTGGAGGAAAATCATTTCTGGGATTCTCTTCCAGTCTCCACTTGAGTCCCGTTGACCAGAATCAGGTCACACGTTGTTTCTTGGACCGGACACTGGCCCAGGTGGGTGGGGTTCCCATGATAGTCTTAGGCTAACTCCTGTTAAGTGCGTGGCTGGTGATGCTAACCCAGCCCTGCCATCTCCCCAGAATGGTGAGGAATAATTCTCAGAATGAACTCTAGACCCTGTGTATTCAAAGTGACTCTTTCATAAATACCCACCTACCCCGGCAGGTGTTCTTGCCCTTTGGGCTGAAGAAACAGATTTCCAGGTTCTCTCCAGGACTTGAGATTTATTTCAAGAGAGCATACGAAGTGGACAGGAACCAGACAGTGGCTGTGATCCCTTCTCTCCACATCTGTCTCTCCACCTGCCTTTTTTTTTTCTCTCTTACACACTCTTGGTTTTCTACTTGTATCTCTCCTTTTCTAACCATCCACTGATAAATTTAGCTTGCACAAAGTTTACTTGGCTGTGAGTTTGACTCATGACCACACAGTCTAAATATGTTTCCATCATAAACAGCCCTCTTTCAACAATCTGGATAATTTCTGTTTCCATACACTTTCATTTGTCATCATCATGATGTATTTCTCACAGTCTCACCAGTCTTCAGTCTCTCAGTGTTCGGTGCCGTGGGTTTCAGATTTCCTTTAAACCTCCTGTTGCTAAAGAGATCCCAACAGTCGGAAGGCGCGTTTCCCTCCTATGTTAGGATGAAGGAACAGAGGCCCAGGGGGTTTGGAGAGAATCTTCTTTGCCCTACTCTGCCCTACTCTGTCCCCAAACAGTCAGACCTTTAGAAAGTTTCTGGTTAATATTGTGGGGATTCATAAACCTTCAGAAATCACGCAGCGCCCCCTCCCTACCTTACCCCTCATATCTCCACACAGAAGAGGCAAAGGGAAGGGACAAGATGTTTCACAAGCCTCTTCTGATAGTGCTCTGTGCTGGGCGGTCCTCACCCCCTCCCCATCTACTCTGTGGCCCACAGGCCCCACCTGCCCCACTTCTGGCTGCCCCCCACATAGGCTTCCCTGTTGTCTTGGGTTTAGGCCACAGGAGGCATGGACAAGAGTGGAGAGTCTGGGGTATTTCTTCCTTGCCCCCTCCAGCATAGACTGCAGCTCTGTCAGGCTACCCTCCCCAGGCTCTGCCTCTGGCCCAGCTGCCATAACCTGTTCCCTGTCTCTGAAAGTCCTACAATTGTTACAAGTTTGGATTTAAAGGCACTTGGGGCTTTGTTAGCTTGAGTTCCATGTTTAGTCACAGTGAAGGCCACAGCTGGTCCTCCCAGCCCCAGAGCCCGATGGGCCAGAGGCGAGGGTGGATGGAAGATGGACTGGGAGCTCCCAAGTGGCAGGGCCTTTGCTGCTTGAAGAACACTTTTGTGTGAGGAATTAGTGGCTTGGCTGTCATGTGAGGCTTGGTTCTCCCAGAAAACACTGAAGACTCCAGGGAAAGTTAACTTCAGAGTAGGAGCCGCACTTTTATCCTGGCTGGACGGGGGTGGGGGATGTGGGGGGGGGGTTACAGGGACCTTGGAAATAGGGATGTTTTCCTCTTGGGAGAAAGGTGCCATTGTGTGTTCACTCTCTCTCTGGGTCGGGTCCAGAGTCACCTCCAGTCCAGCGCCATTCCCTCCTCTTTGCTTCTTATGGAAAGAGCCAGGCATGGCAGGGGATTCTGGGTTTTCATCCACCTCAGGGGACATAAAAGGTTAGAGTATTGACAAGAAAGGGGGAGGGAGAGGGTCCCACTGTGGCAGCTGGAGGTGACCAAGCAGACAAGTCAGAGCAAGCGAACATGTTTCATGTGGCCTCTTTCCTTCCGTGTTTGGAGAAATGACACAAGAAAAGTAAAGCTCCCCTGTGTTTTTCACCTGGTGCTGGTGTTTTTCTGAACTGATGAAGTACAGGGAGAGTTAGAAGCCTCAAAAGAATGAATTGCTTTGTCCATGGAGTCCTCTCTTGGGAGGATGATGGGTCTTTAAAAGTGTAAGGACTAGTTGGGGGTGGGAGTGGGAAGTTGGGTCAACAGGCAGCCGAGGGACAAGGGAAAGCATGCTATCATGTGCAATCAGACCTCTTCGTTTGTCATGTTTTCTAGGAAATACCTAAGTCCCCATATGCAATTTAGAAGGTTTGGCGTCTAGGCCTTCTGCCGGGCATTGCCTTTTTGGGCAGGGTGACTGACAGCTCAGTTCCAGGAGTCTGGGGTGATAGGAATACCCTGTGACTTCTAAGCAGCTCTACTGTCAGATGTGACCTGGAGTCCTCCAGTCTCCCTGCCTGGTCCTGAACACCGTGTGCCTAGGCGAGGGCCAGCGCCGGCCCCTGGCGGCCTCCCCAGATCCTGCGTGTAGGCTGGGCCACACAGCCCCGCTCAGAACTCAGCCCTTGGTCCTGCACCAGCGTGAGGCATCAGATTCATGCCCGGCCCTTCCTTGCCCACTTGCCAGCACTTGCAGGGTGGTTACGGTGTGGCTCTGGCCGGGGTGTGCCTAGCCATCAGTCCAGTTGCAGTTGTTTTAATAAGCTGTAAGTTAAATGTCAGTTTGCGGTGACATTTGAGCCAGGCTAGGTCTTAAATACAACTATTTGAACTCTCAGTCTTTTTTTTTAAGGGATGTAAAGATGGAACAGAGTTGTACATCTGTGATTTTTCACTCCGGCTCTGCTTATTCTTTGGGTTTCTCAACGTTAGTGGACAATTCTGGGATGACCTGATTGCCAAGCCAGTAGCATTCTTCACTCCTGTCCCCCTCCCCCCTCCCTCCTCTTCCTCCTCCTCCCCATCCTCCTCTCCTCCTGCATCCTCTTCCTCCTGCTTCCTCTCCTTCCTCCTTCTCCTCTTTCTCTTCTTCCTTCTCTTCCTCCCCATCTACCTCTTCCTCTTCCTTCCCACTTCCTCCTCTTCCTCCTCCTCCCCATCCTCCTCTTCCTTTTCCTCCTCCATCCTCCTCTTTCTCCTCCTCCCCCTCCTCCTCCCCAGTTCCTCTTCTTCCTCCTCCTCTTCCTCCCCTTCCTCCCCTTCCTCCTTCTCCTCTTTCTCTTCCTCCTTCTCTTCCTCCTCCTCCCACCTCTTCCTCTTCCTTTCCATCCTCCTCTTCCTCCCCTGTCCTCCTCTTCCTCCTCCTCCCTCCTCCAGCACTCTCTCCACCAATGACCTCTGCTGCATTATGTTATCATGAAATACCTCCCCGTTCATCCCTCTTTAACTGTAACATTAAAACATTCTAAACGTGTTCTGATTGTGCTAGGAGAGGCTTTCAGTTTTTCTGTTTCCAGCCTTAACCCTTGCTGACATCCTCACTTGTATCCTCTTCCTAGATAAGGAATCTCACCGTGGATGGGCACTTCGGCGCGTGGTCTCCGTGGACACCCTGCACGCACACCGATGGCAGTGCCGGGGGGTCCTGCCTGTGTCGCACCCGCACCTGTGACAGCCCGGCCCCCCAGTGCGGCGGCTGGCAGTGTGAGGGCCCCCGCATGGAGATCGCCAACTGTTCAAGGTGTGTCCCCCCAACAGTGGTGTAGCTCCGTGTGGACGTGCAGACTGTGGGGGGTGGAAGTCCTTCGTAGTGTCCTTCCCTTTTCAAGAGAAGGGTATCAAAAGACATACACTTACTACAGAACACATAAAATTTATGTGATCTACAGAAGGAGATTTTAAATCATAAATTAGATTATAATTTATAATCTAAACCTGTGTAATATGTTCATTGCTAGATTAAGAAAAATATTTTTAATGGGCATATTGTTATTGACTTGTTTGAGGGAAACATCCATATCAATTAAAATCCTCTTCAGGAACATCTAGCCTAATAGTCCCTTCTGGTAGGACACGATACATTTGCTGTGAACTGACCTAACCCATGTGGCTCTTCACAGTGGTCGCTTTCCTTTGCCAACATCAGTGACCCTAGTGTCTAGAAGCATGAGAGTGCTATCAACCCTCCACCCTGACTTTACCATTAGGTGGTTCCTGAGAATTAAAGTGAGTCTGAAATCAGATTTGGCCACACCTTGACACAGCCGATTCTTGCAAATGGAGTTCCAGTTCCCCATCCCTCAGGCCTGCTGACATGTATGCACATGGAGGTTCTCAGAAGGCAGATGTGATGCTTCTGGCGGCACCTCAGCCAACCTCTTAGTCAGACTGGGGAAAGGGAGCTTCTGCTATCAAGGCAGACACTTCATGAAAGAGAGCCCCCAGCCCTGCACCCAGTCCCAGCACAGACAGAGGTGCATGCATAGTGTATCAGCCCACCCAATCCTGACATCACTTAAGGCATCAAACAAAAATTATTCCTGCAGCACAGGTACTAAGTGCCCCCTCATGCAGATTCGGGAAGTGACATGCACTTGGCATCCTTTGGAGTGTGAGCAGCAAGGTGGCATAGTTTTGACAGTCTCATAAGTTATCCATAGAGTCAATATTCCCGAATATGTAAAGGACAGATCTGGGGTGGCCGCTAGATTTCACATGCCTGTGCATGACATGACACATGCACCATGTCTGTACCTGCACGGTACAAGTGTCCTGGGGCAGTGGTCCTCACAGCAACTTGCTCATCTGCCCCCTAAAAGAATATTGCTAAACTAGCTACCCCTCAAACACTTGTAGATTGGCATATAATTTTTTTTTATCAAAAGTTTTAACAGTTGCAGAGAAATAATCTCTGTTACATCACTATTTAAATGTGTAATGGAATCCAAATGCCTTAGTGATTTCATAGCTACCTGCCCATTTAAAAAATCAATCAGCAGGCTCTAATTTAACATTTAGAAAATGTATGTTTTTCCTTCTGTGTATTTCCTATTTCTATTCTCTTTCTCTCATAGAATCTTATCCAAATATATTATGTTTCTATGTTTAAAAGTCTTATATTGATTACTATATCATACCTCTCTGTGACTACCACAATAGCAAATTATATGAATGGAACTAAAAAACCAAATTTTTATTTCTGATAACCATAGGCTTTACATTTTAAATATTTATTTTGAAAATTAGCTTACTATGAATATTAACATCATGAATGTTACACATTTTGACAATTCTTTAAAACTAAAATGTCATATTTTATTGGAAATCCATTACTTCAGGCAATTGTTTTTAACTCCCAACTATTTTTCCTATTCAGGCATGAATGCAACCTCTTGTCTGATTTGGGGAGGGCTTAGCATCAATTCCATTCTTACTAGTTACAAGCACTGACAAGTATGGCTCCCATAAGTAGATGGAAATATAAGATTACAGCATTTTCACTCACTTTTCTGAATTCTTTTGAAGTCATCTGCCAAAAGTATGGTAATCTAATAGATAAGATTGTTTTTATTGCTTCATATCAATTGATAACCTGTTTATGTTGGCGTTCAATTTTGTTGGAAGCAAAAAATTGCAACCCACCTTACCTGCAAGACAACTTTTTTGCTCATTCAGTACTGACAGATACTTCCTCCGTTTGTGCAAAGCACATCAGAAAGCCTTTCAGAAGGCCAACCAGAGGATTCCAAACTAAACCTGTTATTGTTTACTCATAGGCATCTCCTCTAACCCCATATACTCAGAAAGTGTCGAGAAATTCAAAATATTGCTAATTCAGTACATCCTGCAAATATATTTTTGGGTTTTTTTTAAGACTTATTTATTTATTCGAGAGAGAGAGAAATAGAGGGAGCGGGAGAGAAGCAGACTCCCCGCTGAGCACAGAGCCTTTTAGGACCCTTAGATCGTGAAATCAAGAGTCGGGCGCTTAACTGATGGAGACACTCAGGCGCCCCACAAATATATTTTTGATTAAATGCTTTTATCACATCACATCATTTAAATATGTTTTCTTACTACCCTAGAGCAGCAGATTGAAGTCATTCAATGTATGAAAGGAAATCCACAATATAAAGTAATTAGCTAAGCCAGACTTTCAAAGCAGGGCCATGTCAGCCTTACTATCAGTCAGAAAGATTTGGTTTTATTTTATAATTAAAATGAACATTTGAATGTGCATCCACATGACACCCTGTCACTTCTGAATTCTAATTCTTGGGGAAGGAGGGGCAGAACCAGGTAGATAGGAAGAAGAGAGAGAAATATATGTAGCCAAATAGGAAGGTAGAAGGTCCAGGGAAGGGAGAAATGATCTGTGCGTGGGCCTGAAAGACGGATTGAACAGGGAGCCCCAGAGCTGGGACAGCCCTGGATGGTGGTTCAATCCTCTCAGCTGCCAGTCCTAGCCACCGGCCCTCTGAGCAGCTGGAAAAACTAGGGCCTCGGTCCTTGGGGCCACGACAGGGCACGACACCCATCCTTTGGACTTTGAGAGCTGGGGGCTAGAAGAAGCCCAGTCCTTAACAGAGTCCTGCTCTGCGCTGCAGCATGTCAGAACGCAGAACACCCCAGCTCGGTCAACGTCCTGGTCCTGAGTAACCAGGAGAACAGTTCAGACAGGGATGTGCTGAGCTGCTTTCCTGTTTCCTCTGCTTCTTCTTCTGCTGTCCCTTGATTGTGTTACTACACTCCATGCTCCTCCTCCCCTGCCCCTGGCGTGTCATGACCACAGCAGCATCTCATATTTTAAAACAAGCATCAGGAAAGCTTCTCAAATCAGTCTTCAAGCTCTCTCCACACTTGCTTGTTAATTTACAGTATTTTTTTTTAAAAGTATGGTCTTGTTTCCATGAGCCTGTTTAGAATGCAAAAACCATTCTGGGCAGGTCTTCTATGACATCCCTAACCCAGCAGATCAAATGGGGGATCCCACTCTGTGAGAGCGCAGTGTGCGAGGGCGCTTCCTCCCCAGGAGGAGAGGCCAATCAGAGGCTAGCCACCAACAATGCCAGGACCCGGACCTGCTGTGCCCCTGCTCCCCTTCTCAGGCCAGCCCGGGTCACTTCACAAGATTGAAAGGAGTACAGCAGGGCTCCACAGATTAGATTATTTGTGTGAAGGACGCCTGAGTGGCTCAGCGGCTGAGTGCCTGCCTTCAACCCAAGGCATGATCTTGGGGTCCCTGGATCAAATCCCACATAGGGCTCCCCACAGGGAGCCTGCTTCTCTCTCTGCCTGTGTCTCTCTCATGAATAAATAAATAAAATCTTTAAAAGAAAAGATTTGTGTGATTACAGAAAACAGAGGCATATCAACTTTGCAGTCTACATAGCATTCTTTTTATGAAACTGAGATGGTTGCCATCGAGGCATGGGAGAAACTTTATAAAAAATACAGAACTGTTGCTATTTGAAGGTTGTGATCAGTGATGAATATTCTTTTTGATACTGTTTATGGGAAAAAGGACAGTCAAGTGCATGACTGCAGCCTGTTTATTGATATGTCTTTGGCTTTGGTTCTAGTTGAAATGTCATCCTCTGAGCAGACCTGCAATATATTTAGTGGTTATTTTAAGATTAATAATTGAATAACTGAACCCATCTTAGTGATGCTTTAAATGCATAACTGGCCTGTTGTGGATTGGTTTAATCCTCGAAATGATTGGTATGCTGATACATGCTTACTTGGTGTTAGTTAACGGCCGCCAGCTACAGTGTCTGCTTCTAAGAGACATTTACAAGCCTGCAAACCCAGGTCTGAAGAGTAGACACACACGTAGGTAATTGCACTCATGTAGTTCTAAACTTAATGTATTTCTGTTATTTATGCATACTTCCATTTACCCACTTCTCTCTCTACGACATGTTCCCTATATTGTAAATAGAATATATCACAAGATGTCATGTTTGTTAAAAGGTTTAGGAAACTAAGAATTTCCAAACAATTTTGGAAGCAGTGTTCCCTGCAGTATCTAACAGTTTTGCTGACATATAAAGAAACTTTGAGAGTCAAAGGTCATTTTATTCATGTTGAAATGGCTGTTTTTTTAGAAAATTCAATGAATTTTTGATATCTTTTTTAAATTGTGTGGGATAACAGGGTATAAGATACTAGCTAATTACCTTTATGAGCAACTTGGGAGGATTTGTCATATTTTGTGATTCCTTGGTTGAATTACCTTAAAGCAGCTTTAAGATAATATAATACATCAAAGTATCACTATGTATTTTAGTTATTTATATCATGAAGAAGTTTCAGAAAATAGAGAAATATAAAATATACTAAGAATTTTCTCAGAGGAATTTTCACTTGAAATTATTATAGAAATTGTATATTCAAATTATTGTTTATACCTTGAGTTTCAATGGCACAGGTTCCACTACTACATATTTTTAAAGGAATGTATAAAGTAAAAATAAGAATGTTTTTTTCAGTTGATTTTTTTTTTGAGTGGAAATGAAAATCCTATGAGGACAACATATCTATAGAAACGCATATATGATCAGAGAAGTATAAACATATTCCAATTGCAGTAGACTGTTCATATGGGAGTTTGGATGCTGAATTTAACAGATCTTTTGACAGTTAAAATCTTTAAAAATGCCTGCAATTTGTTTTTTAATAGCAGGGACTCACTACTAAGGGAGATACTTAAATTCTAAACATTCTGAATACAGACATTTTAATACAGGAAAAGTACAACATTAAACAACAACAAAAACTTCTACCTGTCAGTGGTGGTTCATTTTATAAAACACTTTTATACAAACTGTTTTTCATTTTAATTTTATGGTTTATATGCCTATCATATTATGTGTAGGATAATATAAATACAGTCATGTGCAATTTGTACTTTTTGTTTATATTCCATATCTTCGTCAAATTCTAAGAAAATAGCCAAGAATCTGAATTCATAGTACCCTTCCTTCATTTTTATTGAAGTTTGTTTTAAAACTTTGGACATTACGATGCTCTTTATCAGTAGGAATGCTATCAGAATTTCTGATCTTTGTTGATATTACTAGATTTTAAAAGTAAGCATTATAGGTCGTTTTGGATGATATTTTGTTCAGATGTGCCCTTTTTATACACCATAAATGATATAGTACAAATCAAATAGAAGATAAATTCCAGAGGTTCAGGGCATCTCTAATTCCTTTTCAACAGAATAAACTTATTCTTCATTAATTTAACATTTTCATAACGAAAATGTCTTAGTAGTTTCTCTAGCCCATTTTAAATTAGGAATAGTGCACTTTAAGCATTAGTCTCAAAGGTCCTACCTTGACTCTAAAATCAGATACCGAGGAGAAGGATCTCACGGGACTGGATGTGTCCAGTCCTGTCCTATGGCTCCTCTTCCCTGTCCCTTCCCAGCCCAGGATCCAACAGTCCACATGGGGGGCGCGTGGAGGAATTTGGAGGTGGGCGCACACGGCGGTAGATGCTGAGCTAGTTTGACTCTGTGACGCCACTGCTTCCTCTCCCCAGGAATGGAGGCTGGACCCCGTGGACCTCGTGGTCTCCCTGCAGCACCACCTGTGGGATCGGCTTCCAGGTGCGCCAGCGATCCTGCAGCAACCCCACTCCGCGGCACGGGGGCCGGGTGTGCGTGGGCCAGAACCGCGAGGAGAGGTAGGCGCGCTCTGCCCCCAGCACCGCCATCCTCACGCTTCCTGCCATTCCAGCGCGGCCGCGTTTCTCTGCGGTTTCAGTTTGGGATGTAGCTTAGCTTATCTGTGGCATCCCTTTCTGTTGAGCCAAACCGTCCTGTTCTTCTCCTGACATCCTCTACTTTTGATCCAAGCCTCGTGTTGACAAGCATTACTGTGCCAGCGTCCGCCGTGCCTGGATGGTTGGCCCGCTGAGCAGTTCCCAGGGGAGCAGAGATGCAGGGACAGGGGGGACCTCTGTGCTGGGCTCCCTGGGGACGCAGAAAGTGAGTCTGCTGGAGGAAATGTGTTCGTCTTAGAAATCAACCAGACCCAGTCTCAAACTCTGCAGTTCCAAGTAGGACCTAAGGGGGCCTTGGGTCCAGATGGTAGTTGGATGAAGTAGAGTTTCCCATCAGAACTAACTCCAGCAGCTGGAGCAAGGTGAGAACATATTCAGGGTCAGGGTGCATTTATAAGGACACCCTCTTCTCTTAGCCCAGATGCTCGGGGAGGACGCCGCGGAACACGGATGGCGCCGTGTTCCGTGTGTGCTGTAAGCTTTCAGTTCCTCGTGGGGATGTTTCAGTTCAGCTTGCATTGAACAGTTTGTTGCTTTTTCTAGAATCAGACATTTGGCTTTGGCTTCATAAAATCTACAGTTTTGACGGTTGGCTCTTTCCTGCATATGTAAAGTACATTCTAGTTTATGACTGTTGGGAGAAAATCCAAGTAGGTGAATTTCACACCACCCAGGTTTTCTATTTTTTCCCACTTATATAAATGTATTGACCCATGTGAAACAAAATGGCTTTTGATGCCTTTTAATTAAAATGTAGTAAGGATTGTATCTGTCATATGGGTTCAGTAAGAGCCTCTTAGAAAACTACTATATGCAGCTCTTTGCTATGTGATCAATATTTATATAGACAAAACCAACAGGTTTACTGTACAGGTCCTTCCCTGCTAGGTATTTATTACAAACTCAAAACAACCGGGGAGAATCGTGCCTTTCTTTCTTCACTGTGATCCTAAATTGCCAATTAGGATGTCATTCCTTTTGACTCAGAGGAAAAGGAAAGATAATTTTTACAAAGCAAGGATGGTCGTTTTTGAAGTAGTCCCCTAAGACATCTATCATTTCCAATCCAATACCAGTTGATAAGTGGGAAAGCTGGTTATGAGCGAATTGTCTCCCTGCTATTTCTAAACCTTGTAAGATTTAAAATTGATTGGAAGTTTTAAAATGCCTTACATTGTCACATAATACAGCCCTTTCAGGCAGAGTCACCTTCATCAGTGTGAAGTTGCCCTAGGATCCCAGTAACTCTGCAAATGTAGCACCCGTTAGCCCCTTTCCTAGGCTGAGCACACAGGAAGAAAGTTGCTGTTTAACTCCATGGCTAACAGATATGTACATTCTGTATGCACTTGTGATGGTAAAGCTACGTCTTCAGGGAAAAATCAGGATGGCTAGCATGTTTGGGGGATTTACACTTAAAATGTTCCCTTTTTATGTAAAAAAAAAAAAACAGGCTTATTTGGGCAAGATAAATATTTTGTTAGTGGCGGAATATTTGAATATATATAATAAATGGGTGGATGGTAGGAACAGAAACTCTATAAAATTTTTATAAAATTGAAGCTTCCCTATTGAACAGCCTTTCTAGATTAACAGGCTATCAAGAGATTAATAAAACTTAGAAAAAGCAGTACATAATACCTGTTTCTTGGTCTTCACAAGCAAATAGTTCTGAGATTTCTTTGTTGTGTTACATGGGAGGTGTCTCTGCCTGCACAGTATAAGGGAACACCATCCCCTAGACATATTTGAGAACTAAACTCAAGATTCCAGGAGACTCTGGTCTCCATAGGAGGGCACAGAAGGACAATGACAAGACATATACACAGTAATACCATTGCACCTGCTGCTCTAAATACCATCAGCCCTAAAGAACTCCCAAGTGGCCCCAAGTGAATAAATTGATTCCCCCAGAAAAGTCCCTAAGTTAAGGCCGAGATTATAGTTAGTGACTTCGTTTGGATCAAAAATGTCCAGGATGGAGTGATTCAGTGGTAGCTTTATGGCAATAAAAATCTCAGAAGTATTCACGCCATTTTTTCTAACATACTGGATAAAGAAAATAATCTAACTTGTACACTTACTTTAGAGGGTGTGGACACTGTTTTTCTGTTCTAAAAGGTACCGGAAAATGATGTTCTTGAGTACCAAGAACCAAGTGGAAGTACTGATTCCCAAAGAGGCCAGTAACAAGAATGAAACAGTGGACCTCTGTGTCAATACTATCAAAATGCAAGTGTCGTTATCTGTATTAGTTTTATCTTCCTATGTAACCATAGTTGCAAAAAATTAGTGGCTTAAAAAGGCACACATTTATTATTTCACAGTCCTAGTGGATGAAGAGTTTCAGTATGACTACTTGGGTTCTCTGCTCACCCAGAGCTGCAGTCTCATCTGGGCATCAACTGGGGATAGACCTATTTGTAAGATCACATGGTTGTTGTCAGCTTTTAGTCCCTGGGGGATTGTCAAATTGAGAATCTCAGTTTCCTGCCAAGTGAGCTATTCTGACATGGTCACTTTCTTCCTCAAATCTGGCAAGGAAGAAAGTCTCCTCATGGGATGGGCAGTATGGTTTTATATAGTGCAGTTGCAAATTGACATGCCATCACCTGGCTGTATTCTATTGGTTAGAAGTCACAGACCCTGACTCCACTTAAGAGAAGACATTACACAGGACATGAATACCAGCAGGCAAGGATCACTGGGGTCACCTTGCAATATCTGCCACAGTCAATGACATGTCTCAGTCATTCATGTCCTTTCCAAATGGAAAACGTATTTCACCTATTCCCAAGGCCCCCAAAAGTTTCATACCATTAAATCATCTCCCCAAATTCCAGAACCTTATCATTTCAATCAGGCTCAGATATGAATGAGGCTTTCTGGGTGTCATTCCTCTCATCCTTTCAGCCTCTAAAATCAAAGCAAGGTATCTACCACCAATACACGCAACTTGTGATGGTGGGACAGGCAATGGGTAACAGCTATTGACATTTCTGTTCAAAAGAGCGGGGGGCAGGGTTGGAAAGTATAGAGGAATCACTGCTCCATGGAAATTCTGAAATCTAGCCAGACAAGTGTTGGGAGTTGCTCGATTAAGTTTCAGGGCCTATGCATAATTCTGCATGGTTCTTGGCTCTGCCTTCTAGGCTCTCATTGCTGCTTCCTGATTCATCTTTTCTTTTTCATGAAAGTTAGCATGTGCTTGCAGCCGGGTAGTTTTATCAACCTGTTTCCTGCCAGTAGGATTCTGGTTTCCAGCAGTCTCATTCCATTTGTATTTTCTCTGTACGTTTTGGTGCAAGCTGGTATTTTTGCTGAAATAAACTTTATGGGTCTTTTGTGGATTTCCTTAAGGTTTACTCTAGTAAACAAATCCACACCCACAGACCTTTTTTGAGATAGCCCTCTCTAGCCAGGGATCCTCCTGATGGTGTGGGACCACACCCTGTGGCTTGCTTGTGATTGAGACCATCTGTGAGGCACACCCTTGCTCCTGACCTCTGGAGAGCACCCTTTGTGTAACTGGAGCTACTCTGATCCTTTGGTCTTTCTGAGGTTTTAGCAGGAGGTTATACCCTCACACCTCTAGCTTTTTCCTCCACGCCAGCCATTCCTGACAGTACTCAGAGGCTATTTATCGATTTGAGCATATTTGCCATCAGTAGAGACTCAGAATTTCCAAAACTATTCCATCCTGGTCCCTCCTGTTTGTTATTCCTTCCCACAATTTTTTTTTCCTTTCCTCATACATTTTAGCATAAGCAGCAAGAAGAAACCAGGCTGCACCTCCAACACTCTGTGTGGAAATTTTCTTGGCAGCGTAACTCACTTCATACTGACGTGTTCCGCTTTCCATAGAACCGTAGAGACAGCCTGGAAGCTCTCTGCTGTGTCGTAAGGTTCTCCCTTCCCCCAGTTTCCAATCCTGGGCTCCTCTTTTCTCTTTCATTTTGGTGGTGGTAAAATATATTTAACAGGGCAGCCCTGGTGGCTCAGCAGTTTAGCGCCGCCTTCAGCCCAGGGCCTGATCCTGGAGACCCAGGATCAAGTCCCACATCAGGCTCCCTGCACGGAGCCTGCTTCTCCCTCTGCCTGTATCTCTGCCTCTCTCTCTCTCTCTCTCTCTCTCTCTCTCTCTCTCTGTGTCATGAATAAATGAACAAAATCTTTAAAAATATATATATATTTAACATAAAATTCACCATTTAACCATGTTTAAGTGTTTGATTCAGTGGCATTAATTACCTTTACTGTATTGTGTAACTATAAAACATTACCTATTTCCAACCATCACCCCAAACCTGTAAACATTAAGCAGTGATTCCCCATTTTTTCCCTCCTCCCAGCCCCTGGTAACCTCTAATCTATGTTCCTTCTCTATAAATTTGCCTATTTGAGATATTCATATAGATAGAATCACGGGATATTGGCATCCTTGTGTCTGGCTGATTCCATGTAGCATAATGTTTTCAAGGCTCATCCGTGCTGGACCACGTGTTAGAGCTTCATTCCTCTTTATAGGCTGAATAATACTCAACCGTATGGCTTTCTCATGTTGTATTTATCTCTTTAGCCATCAGTTGACAGGTGGGTTATTTCCACCTTTTGGTCCTTGTGAATAGTGCTGCAGTGAACACTAGCATACGAGTGTCTGTTCAAGTCCCTGTGTGAGTTCTTTGTGTAACTGACAGTGCTCAGTGTATAAACCTGACAGTGTATGAACCTAGAAGTGGAATTTCTGGGTCATATGGCAATTCAATGTTTCGTTTTCTGGGGAGCTGCCAATTGGTTCTCCACAGTGGCTTCAACATTGTACACTCCCACCAACAGTGTGTCGGGGTTCAAGTTTCTCCACAATCTTGCCAACGCTTGTTTGTTTCTTCCTTTCTTTCCTT